TCAGCCTCCGGGACGAACTGGCCACGGGCCGCAGCCCCCAGGCCGACCCGCCGCGGCCGGATGCAGAACGTGGGCTGCCGGGCCCGATGCCACAGCCCCACTCCGTGCGGGGCCGTCTCCTTCACGTAAGACTTTGGCCGAGATTTCCACACCTGTGTCCAGTCCTCCTCTCTGAGAGCATTAACTGTTTCAACAAGGAAACTCTGAGCAGAGGCCGCCGGCCGCCTGTCTGTGGAGTGAGTGGGGCAGGGTCTCCGTACTGTCGTAAAGTCCGTCTCGTCTCCCCTCCATCCAAAGGCCGTTTTCTCAAGGGGGGGCAGGGCTGGGGCACCGCCGGGCGGTGCTTTCCAGGGCCCGTCTGTAGGGGTGAGGCCCCCAGGCCCCCTAAACCAAAGGGGCACTGGCGGGTGGGAACGTGGCCGCCCCCAACCAAAATGCTGCACCAAAGCCTGGCAGCCCCACCCAGCTTTGCCCGGCCCTGTGTGGGGCTGGCTGGTCCTGCCAGGCAGGTGGCCACCGTGCACCTGATTCCAGAGGCTGGGCCCCGGCACCAGACCTGTGGGGACATCCTCCCTGGTGTGGCCGTGTGGGTCCCTCCTGCGTCCGGTGCAGCTGGAGACAAAACCGCCTTAAAGTCCCCGGCGTGGCACCGGGGGCATTTGCAGGGCCCAGGGCGGCCGCGGCTGCCGGACAGGTGGGCGGCAGTCGTGCGAGTCTACTTCTTGCTTTACAAAGTGTACAGAAATGGCATTTACGTTTCTCTGATGCTTCCTTGAAGCCATAGGACTTAGGGGCTTTTTTTAAAAAAAATTAAAGAAAAATGAAACCAATCCCGAGTGTGGTGTCTTCTAGGGGCTCAGAAGCAGGCGGCCGCCCCGGTGCCCCGACCTCCCTTCTGAGCTGGGTGGAGGGCAGTGGGGCTGGGGGACCAGGGTAGGCCCCGCCCTGGAGGGGCTACAGGAACATCAGGGCGCGGGCAATAGGAAACGGCGATAGAACTAAAAGTCGACGTGTGAGCTCTGTCCGTGCTGTTTTCTTCTGACTTGTCAACCTAATAAAGATGAGCAGAACTCACAGATGTGCAAATTTCATAAAGAGTAAGCCAAATCCACTGCTGTCGAGTCGATCGTGACTCATAGCGACCCTATAGGACAGAGAAGAACGGCCCCATAGGGTTTCCAAGGCTGTGATCTTTACAGAAGCGGATTGCGGCATCTTTCCCCCACGGAGTTGCTGGTGGATTCAAACCACCGACCTTTTGGTTAGCTGCCAAGTGCTTAACCACTGTGCCACCAGGACTCTTAAACAGTAACCCGGTTCTATGCAGATACATTGGAAACCCTAAACAGGGCTTGGTTTCCAGGAGAAACGCCAGCTACTGTGTGAACCCGCAGGGGTGCCGTGCTAGTGGCCAGGCCTCCAGCCAGCCCTGCTGTGTGCCCCCATGGCCCACCCCACTCAGAGCGGCACAAATGAAACCGCGGACACCAGACCCAAAACCACTGCACAGGGATCCAGGTAGTGACAACACTGGCAGCCACCTTGTCTGCCCTTCCCCTAAAGCAACACAACCATAAGGACAAGTCAGGCCTATACCAAAGTCAGGCCCAAGTCTCCCAAGGAAGTGAGAAGGAAAATCTCCCCAGTCCCAGGGCGTGGCCACAGGGGCAGAGCACTGGGGACCAGTTCACAGCACCAGGGAGTCCACATGCACCTAGTCTGCAAACAGCTAAGACCGGCCCCGGCCAACAAGCACACAAACCCACAATTTCCAGGGGTGCCTTCAAGACACGGTGCCTCTGGGGGAGAACATAAAAGCAGACATAAGGGTGACGTGCCATCTGGCAATTTCTTGGTGAAGGGAAAAGAGGAGAACCATGAAGTCAGGACCCACACCACGACCTTCCCATCGCCAAAGTATGCAGACACATCGACCAAAGAATCTGAACTCCCTACACTGACAGGTGGCGTTGAACTAGGAATGTTGTGAAACACCCCAGTACCGAAAACATGAACAAGATAAATGGGGAGGAGGGGATTCATACAAAGAATCAACACACAAAATTCCACATTTATCCATCAAAGCCCTAGAAGATCCCATAAAAGCAGAAGGAAACAAAAGTCAACACCTCAATAAGGGTTCCATCAAAAGCCAAATACGCTACCAAAAGACCAAAAAAAATTTGAAGATACGAAAAATCACCTTGAGTTGAAAATTGAAAATCTAAGAACAGAAACGGACAAAATAGAATTGGAAACAGCTGACTGAATTCAGGAACAAAATGGAAGAAAAAGCCTGAGAAATTAAAAATTGTTGCAAGGTACCCAAGATTCAAAAGTGGAAATTTAAGAAAGGGCATCAAAGGCAGGAAAACAACCGAGAACAAAAAGTAAAAAGGGTCAGAAAGAGAGAAAATGGAAAACAGATGCAGAAATAACACTCCTTAATATTGGAAGAAGTGAAGCAGAACTTGTATTTAAAGCTATCACCCAAGAGAACCTTCCAGAAGTAGACAAAGACCTGAATACCCACACTGAGAGGGCCCACTGGGCACCAAGGAAAATTAAACCAGCATAATCAGCTACAAGACACTTCCTAGGAAAACTGTTTGATTTAAAAGATCATGCTAAAACCCTTAGGGCCTGCAGGGGAAAAAGACAATAATTTACAAAGGCAGGAGGCGCACAATTGGCCTCAAACTCTTCGAAGGCAACATACAAAAAAAAAAAAGACCCTGTTGCCATCGAGTTGATTCCGACTTATAGCGACCCTATAGGACAGGGTAGAACTGCCCCATGAGGTTTCCAAGGAGCAGCTAGTGGATTTGAACTGTCAACCCTTTGGTTAGTGTTCAAGCTCTTAGCCCCTGCACCACCCGGGCTCCAGCACGCAAAGGAGGATTCAGTTAAAGAAAGTGTGAGCCAAGGGCTCTGCGTTCAGCCAGGCTGTCCTTCGAGAATGAAGGCTATAGGAAATCTGTTTTCAACATAAAAACTTGGGAAAATGCTACACCCGTCGGCCCTTCCTGAGCAGTTTCCTAGAAGACGCACTTCATCCCGCCAAGAGATGGAAAATGCCGGCAAAATGACTGAGGGCGAGCAGCTAAAATCTATAAATGTGCTTCTAAGACTAAAGTGAGGATGCAGGTGGAACACTGAGAGACCAGTGTTATATGTTGTGACAAAGTAGGAATAATACAACTATACAAGGGAGAAGGGAGTCAGAAACGGAATGAGCCCACCAGTTGCTTTCTAGGCATAGGCTGGGGTTACAGGAAACCAATACTGTTGGCCTATGTGTGGACGAGTAGCTGCACACTGGTCCATCCACACAGTGAAGGAGCACCCAGCTGTGCCAAGAAAAACGAGCTGAACTGATAAGGCATGACTTCTTACCTTTCCATTATAAATGAGAAAAGCAAGGTGCAAAAGTATTTACAGTACACCAACCTTCATGGAAGAAAGGAGAAGATGTAAGAAAATATTTAGGGTCTACTTATTTGTGCAGATGAAATATAGCCAGGATAAACCAGAAACAAATGAGACCGGTTACCTGTGGAGGTTGAGGGGACAGGGTGGGACGAGCAGGGGAACAGGGACAAGGTAACGTCGGGACTGGGGAGTAACATTTCTCAGGGTACAGCATTTTGTATATCTCTGACTCATGGGAAAGTTTCACATAACCAAAAATAAGGTCAATCAACACCTACTTCACACCATGTACAAAAATTCACTCAAAATGGATCAACAAACAAAATACAAGACCTAAAACCATAAAACTCTTAGAACAAAATACAGAGGTAAATCTTCAGGACCTTGCATTTAGCAACGGATTCTTATGTCACCAAAAGCATAAGCAACAAAAGACAAAATAATCAGAGTACATCAAAATAAATTTTGTGCATCAAAGGACATTTCTTTTTAAAGTGAAAAGATAACCTACAAAATGGGAGAAAATATCTGGAAATCATATATCTAATAAGGATTTAATATCCAGAATATATAATGAACTCTTAATACTCAACAACAAAAAGACAACCCAGTCAAAAAATGGGCAAAAGACTTGCCCAGACACTTCTCCAAAGAAGATAAATGGCCTACAAGCATATGGAAAGATGGTCAACATTATGAGTCATTAGGGAAATGCAAATCAAAACCACAGTGACATACTACCACTCCACACCCCCTAGGGGAGCTAAAATCAAAAGGACAGACAAGTGTCGGTGAGGATGTGGTGAAACGTAAAATGGTTCAGCTGCTGTGGAACAGTCCTGCAGTGCCTCAAAAAGTTAAACACAGAACTATCCTATGACTCAGCAATCCCACACCTAGGTATCTACCCTGAGGAAACGGAGTCCACACCAAAAGTTGCCCACGAATGTTCATACAGCACTATTCACAGTACCCAAAATGTGGAAACAGCCCGAGTCTACCACCGATGAATGATAAAATGTGGTTCATCCATACAATGGAGTATTAGTTGTAACAAGCAGATACACGCTACAGCGTGGATGAACCTCGAAAACATTATATGCTGAGTGAATTAAGTTAGATACAAAAGGACAAATACTGTATTACCCCCTTATATGAAACGTCCAGAACAGGCAAATAACAGACAGAAAATGGATCAGTAGTTGCCAGTGGCTGAGCAAGGGGAAATAGGAGATTATTGCTTAATGGGTACAGAGTTTCTGTTTGGGGTGATGAAAAAATTTTAAGAAGCAACAGTGGCAATGGCTACCCAATATTTGTTGTTGTTAGGTGCCGTCGAGTAGATTCTGACTCATAATGACCCCATGTACAACAGAATGAAACACGGCTCCGTCCACCACCACTCTCACAATCGTTGCTATCTTTGAGCCCATCGTTGCAGCCAGACGATTTAGTGATTGTAATTAATGCCACTTAATTGTGCACTTAAAAATGGTAAAAATGCCAAATTTTGTTATACATATCTCACCACAGTTAAAAAAAATGAACCAAGATGTGAGCAGTACACAAAATGGAGTAGAAACGATAAAATAAAAAACTCAGCTACTGAAAATGCACAGCCACCATCCTGAAGGAGTGGAGAACAAAAGAATTAACCTAAGTAACGTCAGAAAGCCGTCTTTTGACTGGCTCCTGTCAGGCTAAAGAACAAAAGGAAGAGTACACAAATACTGCAGATTTGATTGTCACAGGACTATGAAACCACACTGTATGTGTTCTGGTTCGAATAGATCAGTAAAGGTGTGGTACCCATCTCGTAAGGCAGGCTTCTCCCAGTCAGAGAAAGAAATTATGAACAAAGACGGGAAGGTAAGAATGAACCCTATGGTGCTGGATTGGAATCAGAGGAATCAGTACAGACTGTGGTTTTCAATATATAGAGGAATCAGTACAAACTGTGGTTTTCCATATATAAACATGCAAACAATAAATGCAGAAACTGAGCTGTATGTGTGCGTGTGTTAGCACCCACAAGCATTTCCCAGTTCCATGCACTGAGCGGCCTGTGGAGCCATGGCAGCCCGGTGCCCAGATTGTGGTGTCTAACTACCATTCACCAATAAAAGGAATCAGGCTCCTCAGAGAAATGGTGGATTCCAGGGCCAGGGCAGATAAAATAGTAAGAACTTGGAAAATCCGTAGTGCTAGAACATAAGGAGGTGCTCAAAAAAGGGCCCAGGAGCCACCCTGAAGGAGCTCCTCGTGTCTAAAACTGGCATAATGTGAGCAACAGCGTAAGACAGTATTGGATTATAACCGGCAGAGTAAACACTCAGGAGTCTGTACCGACATAAATGAATAAACAACCGAGGGAGAGGGGCAACTCTTCCTCTGTGCGGAATTCTACTTAATGACTAGAATGAATGATGGAGATATAAAATCACCAGTTAGCAAACACCAGGAATCAGTGCTGCAGGCCAGGACCTTGGATGGGTACAATTAGTGAGGAAAGTATGAGGAGAAAGTATTTCCACAGATACCTCCTGACAAGATGCCGCTTGTTAATTACAAGCATGAAAACAGGAGCTGGACTGTGAAGAACCTGCTCAGCACCCCCAGGAAGAAGACTGATGGATACCACGTGCCCCTGGATACGGCCGCTGAGACGGACACAGTGGTTTTCTTACCAAAAAAAGGCACAACCTCAGTTTCATCATGAAGCAGCATCAGACAAGCCCCAAAACAACCAGCCTCAACTCCTCACAGGCATCAAGATCACAAAAACACTGAGAACCTGTCACCACTGAATGAGGCAGGAAATGTGACGACTAAAGTAGACCTGGACCAGAAAAAGGACGGATGTTGTGCTGGTTTCCTGTGGCTGCCGTGACAAAGTACCACATAGTGGGCTGTTTGAGCACAACAGAACTTCATTCTCTCTCAGTTCTGGAGGCCAGGTGTCAGCAAGGCAGAGCTCCCTCCGAAGATTCCAGGGGAGGATCCATCCCTGTCTCTTCCAGCTTCTGTGGCTCCAGGTGTTCCTTGGCTTGTGACCGCATCACTCCACTCTGCCTGTGTGTGTCTGTCTCTTTTATAAGGAAACCAGTCATAGGATTAGAACCCACCTTACTCCAGTGTGACATGTTAACCTAACTGACATCTTCAAAGACCCTATTTCTAAATAAGGTCACATTCACAGGTACGGGAGTTAGGACTCCAAGGTATCTTTTAGGGGGACACAATTCAATCCATAACAGATAGGAAGGAACACTGATAAAATTCCGATAAGATTTGCAGTTAGTATTGTACCGATGTTAATCTCTTTGTTTCCATAACTACTATGAGTCTGTGAGATGATAAACATCTGGGGACAATATCCTGAGGGGTAAACAGGGACTCACTACTATTCGTGGAACTCTTCTACAAGTCTAAAATTATTTCAAAATTTAAAAAACTGTTAGTAAAACAAGAATGGATTTTTTTCTAATATATAAAAGCCATAATCGACACTGAACTTTCCAGAGCATTCTCTTCAAATCTCACATTAGACAGACACGTCCCCAATCACCACAAATAACACAGTCATACAAGAGAAAGTAATATATGGTAGCGGAATTGGAAAAGAAGGCAAAGTTGGCACGATTTTTAGATAATAACACCTAGATCCCCAGAAAACCCAAGGGTTACAAACAGGTAATTCATTAAGTTCGTTCGGTGTGTTTGTCCATGAAAGAAGATACCTCATTTGCAGTAGCTAAAAATTTCAAAAGTAAAAAAAAACCTACATAGTAAATCTATGAAAAATAGAAACTATGAAGAAAACATCAAAACGTATTTGAAGGACATACAAAAGTCTTGCATAAATGAGGAGATAAACCCCTATTTATCCATTCTCTTTAGATAAATCTATGATTCTAACATAATCCCAATTAAAATACCAAAAGGACGTAGAAGAGTTGATTCTGATGTATACATTAAACATTATGCTCATCCTGTGAAAACTGTGAGAGGCGGAACTCAACAGGCCTGCCTTGTTTTTCCGGGTCTCGAAAGTTCTCTGCCTTTGACAGGGTGCAGTCTTAACACTTTTCCTTTTTTTATTATTTTTTTTTGTGTGTGTGTGCGCTTTAGGTGAAAGTTCATAGAGCAAATTATTTCCTCATCAAACAATTAATACACATATTATTTTGTGACATTGGTTGCCAACCCCACAATGTGTCAACTCTCCCCTTCTTGACCTTGCATTTCCCACTTCCATTCATCCAGCTTTCCTGTCCCCTCCTACCTTCTCATACTCGCCCCTGGGCTGGTGGGCCCATTTAGTATCACATACATGATCGAGCTACGTGTATTACTGTTTGTTTTATGGGTCTGTCTCATCTTTGGCTGAAGGGTGAAACTCAGGAGTGACTTCAGTACTGAGTTAAAAGGGTGTCCGGGGGCCATACTCTCGGGGTTTCTCCAGTCCCTGTCAGACCAGTAAGTCTGGTCTTTTTTTTTTTTTTTTGTGAAAAATGTTCTACATTTTTCTCAGCTCTGTCCGGGACCCTCTATTGTGACCCGTGTCAGAGCAGTCGGTGGTGGTAGCCGGGCGCCATGTGGTTGTGCTGGACTCCGTCTGGCGGAGGCCGCGGTAGGTGGGGTCTTAACACTTTTCTATCGCTAGTAGTGGAAAATCTGAGTTCTCCTTCTCGGACAGGTTTCCACCTTACGCAGGTTCTCGCTTTTGCAGGTTTTCCTGTATTAAACATTCACGTTCATGAAGGGGAGCAATGGAGAAGGAGGCACCCACCCTGCCGGCTAGTAAAGCATGACAAAGCTACACAAGGGGCCCTGGTGGCACCACAGTTAAACGCTCGGCTGCTAACTGAAAGGTCAGCAGTTCAAACCCACCCAGTGACTCCATGGGTGAAAAACCTGGCCATCTGCTCCCGCAGATTACAGCCTAGGAAACCCTATAGGGCAGTTCTACTGTCACATGGGGTCACTGTGAGTCGAAATCAGCTCAATGGCTCCCAACAACAGTGCCAACACCTGAGCAGGCATATCAGTGGGAGAGTGGAGGCCTTAGACGTGGATCTTTATGGAGAAATCAATTCCCTGACTCAAAATCTTAGTAATTTCATCTCAGTGGGGAAGAGGTGACTTTTACAGGAAATAGAAAACGTAACATTCTGCCTTACTCCTTACAACTGGGCTACCTTCCTGATGTGGTCAACTTGAACTTTTTCAGTTCTGTCCATTTCTGCTCTGTTTTGAACCTTCTAGGTGCATATGCGTGTAGGATTCCTATGTCATTAGAAAATATCATTTTTCTCTAGTAACTGCTTCGAAGTCTCTCAGGCTGGTATTTCCACAGTGATACTGGCTCTGCTCTGTTAACATCTGCATAATGTTGTTATTTTTCTGCACTTTTCCTTTCAACCTCTCCCTGTATGTACAGCATGTCTCTTGTAAGCAGCCTGTATTGGTCTTGTTTCCAACCTTTTTCAGTTGCAATCTTTAACCCTTTTATATTTAGTGCAATTATTAACACAGTTGCTATTTGTTTTCGATTTAGCTTTGATCCTTTGTTCCTCTTTTTTTGCCTTCTCTTTGGTGTTCATCAAGGATTTTTAACGTCTGTATCTCCTCCGTTGGCTTTTTGGAGTCCCTGGGTGGTGAAACAGTTAACATGCTTGGCTGCTAACCAAAAGGTGGTGGTTCGAGTCCACCCAGAGGCGGCTAGGAAGAAAGGCCTACTTCCAAAAAAACTAGCCACTGAATACTCTACGGAGCACAGTTCTACTCCTGACACCCGTGGGGTCCCCAGGAGTGAGGGTCGACGCAACAGCAGCTGGGGCTTGTTGGCTTTTTAACTCTGCTTCTTTGTAGTTTTTAGTGGCGTCTGTAATTTCAACGTGCCGTATGTCACATCACAAATACATATAAGAGGCCTGTCGGTGCTCTGCCTGGGGGAGCCAGATCTTTCCTCTCACCCCACTTGTCATTCTGGAGCTGGCCCTGGGCTTGGACGCGCTCCGCGTCTCCAGGACTAACGGACGGAAAAGCCACCCGTGAGCCTCACACCCCCCTGGGCCCAAGTCTCTCAAGCCAAACTGAAGGGACAGTCGTGGGAGAGTCTCCAAGGTGATGAAGAAGCGGACAGAAAAATGGTCAGTCGGATGTTAGGGATCAAGTGCGATCAGGTGTCACCTCTAAACACACAGACGCGTACAAACCTGGTGGAGCGGTCACACCCGGGACGGTCCACCAAGGAGCCCTCCCCTGGCAGCTGCGAGGCTCCTGCCTTCTCTCCTGGCTGCCCAGGACGCCAGGTGCGAGGGACACTGAGCCGTTGGCCCTCTGTGAGTCTCCTGTGGCTGCCTAACTGATCACCTGCGGCTCAAAATAGCACAGGTCTATGCTCTCACTCTTCCAGGGGTCAGCAGGCCAACATGGGCCTCACGGGGCTGAGATCTGGGTGTCGCTGGCTCCTTCCGGAGACCCCAGAGGAGAATCGTCTCCTGCCTTTTCCAGCGTCTGAAGGTCCCGCGTTCCTTGGCCCGTGGCCCCTTTCTGCGTCTTCAGAGCCAGCAGCGGGCATCTTCCAGTCTCTCTCTCTGCTTCCGTCCTCACATCTCCTCTGACTCTGACCCTCCTACCGCCCTCTGATGAGGACCCTGTGAGCACATGGGCCACCCGGGTGATCCAGGGTCATCTCCCGTCTCAAGACTGTTCACGTTATCCGTGTGCAGGGTCCCTTTACGTCAAGTACCATGTCCCCAGGACCAGGGACTTGTGGAGGCCACTCTCTGACCCCAAGACTGGTTCCCCACATGGATCTGGTGCTGGCGTCCACCCATGTCACTTGTTCTTACAGGGAGGCAGCTCTGAGCCGCAGGGACCCAGTGCTGCTCCTGACCCCGGGGGCAGGGTAACAGGTGTCCACAGGGTGGGGGGCCGGCCCCTCCAGCAGCCATCTCTCCTGATGTGAACCATCCCCCGCAGAGCCCAGCGAAACACCACACCCCTCCAGGCTCTCCCGAGACGCACCTCAGACCCCAGCTGCACACAAAGGGCCCACGGGCACAGCCCCCACCCTGCAGGGTGGCCCCTGCTGCCACACTGGGTAGGGGTGTGTGTAGGGCGGACAGAGGATCTTGGATCCCTTGGGGCCCAGGGTCTGTTGTTGTTTGGGGAGGAGTGTGTCACAGACCACCCACATCAGTCCCTAGTCCACTGGCCCCTCACGGGGCGGGGGGGACTGAGTCGGGGGGACGTCCCCCAGCACCCCAAATGGAAGAAGTACGTGGCAGGCATGTTTCTCTCCTTTATTAAAAAAAAATCACAGGGGCCGCAACATGAGGGGGGGGGGGGATTGCTGGGCAGGAGCACACGTGGGCAGGGGCACGAGGGGCTGGGGGCCAGGGGGCGACGCCTCCAGGCTTCTGGGCGCATGGGTATGGGCACAGTATGTACAGGTGGGCGCCATTCTCAGGCCCCATCAGGCCAAGGGGGATGCACCCCACGCTGTGCCTGGGGGCCCGGACGCCATAGGACCGCCCTCCAGGCAGAAGGGTCTCAGCCAGGCCCTGGGCGGACGAGAACGGAACCAACAACAAACCCTCGCCTGCTTGAGGTTGGGTGGGGAGGGGCCCAGCCCCCAGAGTCCTGGCTCCCCAGGGGCAGATGGTTGGGATCAGGGCGGCCTCGGGGCACACGGCCAGCTGGGCCTGAGAGGCCCTGGGAATGGATGAGAGCACAGGCAAACGTGACCATTTAAACCAAACACACCACGAGCCCCCAGACGTCTCTACCAGGAAACGGAGCCCAGAATGCATTGCAATGTGCGTAAAAAAATAAAAGACGACGATCCCGCGCCCCGTGGTCAGGGCCGGCGGCTCCGGC